TATTTCCTATTACTGTCATTAGAAGTTACAAATGAAACCTTAGACATTGGAGACAGATAAGGGCCCACAAAAAAAAGACTGCTGTCTGAGGGTGAAGGAAATCCCGCAGGGCCACTGCTTCTCCTGGGAACGAGCACCCCTTGCTCCCTGCTGCCCCAGCCTTTGCCTGCTTTCATGTCATTAACCATCTCCCCCAGCTAAAAAAGCATAAGCATTGACTGCTGCACCTCGCCCCAGCAGGCATTGCAGCGGCAAGCAAAACTACAAAGGCAGAAAGCCTGATCTTACAGTGTTGCTTTAACAGCACTAGAGGAAAAGTCTGATGTTTATGAAGTAAAAAACTACACCAGGAGCCCAGCTTCCCCAAGTGTTCCGTCCCCTCTCACCAGGATTACAGGGCAGTCAAGAAAGGTCCATGTCCACTGGAGACAAGCTGCGCACTCTTGTTAAACTGCAACAACTTTGGAAAAGACCTCTTTTCCAAATGAGGCTAGGCTCAGTTTGATGTAACTTAATTGGGTATCATCTCTGACACAGCCCCTTGAACATGTACTTACTGAAAATGAGGTGTTTTCTCATGCTGCTGAGGGATACAGAAATGAGAACAACAAAAAGAAGCCACGTCATGGTACATCATGGTAATGTTTTATGCCACAAGAGATAAAAGCAATCTTCCGCATTTATTTTCCAATTTCTAAATAGAGATTGGCTCTTATCTAGCATTTAAATAGTCACTGACCTTTTCAGAAAAAACCCATATAGTAGGTAATCATGATTGAAAGAAAGGGAAAACTTAAAAATACATACATACACAAAGACAAGAAACATGTCAACACCACTTTAGCACTTTTGTATTTTATTGTGGAATTGAGTTTGTTTGCTTTACATCAAATATCCTCAATGGACGAGGGGATATTGCACACAAATATCATAAAAGCACTACATATTACTTTCACTGGAAACTAATTTTCTACATTAGATATGACTGGATAGAATAGAAGTGATGCAGGATTATAAGACATAATACCATACACAGCTGCAGACTGACACAAACACCATTCAGAACAAGAGAGAGGAGGTGTGTGAGGTGCTTCTCAGCCAGCAACAAGACTGTTTCTTTCCATAGTTTGGAAGATAATGGCTGCATGCAAATGCGTGAAAGCATATTTCAGATTTCTTCCTTTACAGTTGTGATTACAGCCCAGTCTTGAAGAGGTAGCTCCTTCCATCTGGAGCTCCTAGCTAGTCTAGTGCAGAGAAGCTGGTTTTTTAATTCTTCTTTTTTTTTTTTTTTTTTCTATATTTTTATGCCATTGTTTTATTTAGTTACTTAATTTTTTTTAGATTTTTTTTGTAAATTCACAACAGACTTTTTTTTCTTTTTTTATTTTAAATAGCAAACATTTTTAAACCAGGTGAATAATATAATTGCATTCTAAGAAATGCTTACCCCTAGTTGCTTTTAGTGTTCTGTTCAATTATTAAGTGAAAAGATGAAAGCTTACAGTTTCTTTCAAGTGTAAACATTATACTTTTTCTTTTTCTAATAAATCCAGACCAACAAAATTACTATTTCTCTCAAAACATCATTACTGAGCAAGAACCTCTGGCGACAGTTGAACAAAGAGAAGCGTATGACAAAAATGTCCCAAATGCACAGTAAGTGCTCTTTGGAGCTGACTTGCTTGTGGTGGGAGGGATTGAAAATTTAAGTAACAAATTGATTAAATCTTAGTAAATGAGTACTGGAACTCTCCTAAAATGTGTAAGCTATCATAGACAATTAAAGAAAAAACATTCATATACACAGTTATCTCCATTCACCACAGTATGTAAAGTAAGTTTAAAAAAAATCAGAAGTGATTTCTATGAAAGATGGGGTGAAAATAGAGGTCAATAAAGTCAGGCCCACCACAGGACTTTGAAAAGGCATGCAAGAGAGGCCCTGTCCAAGTTCAGGAGTGGGGTGGGATCTCCAAAGTTAATTCTTCATTGAATTATATGAAGCAGTATAGTTATAGCATAAAGATCATGACTGGGGATGCTGTTATGGGTAATACCACCATTTAAATGGAGTGTCCTTTACACTCAGATATTGAATCTTTATAATTAGAGTAATCAATAACAAACCATGCTCCTAGAAATCTATGCTGATCAACAGCACTCATCGTTAATGTACACGGTACATTTTGATGACTGTTACACTAAACTAATTGTGTAGTACTAGGACTAGCACAGTTAGATTAGTTCCACAGGCAGGAAAGACATTAAGGGCAAGAGGAGCTAATGGAGGAGTTCATCTCTGTGTTGCACCCAGGCACCGTTGCCATTTGAAAGGGAATGGATGGAACAGGCATTACAATACCTCAGAATAGCCAGACCAGGATTTTAGTATTCTTGTAGCAGCAAAAAAGCAAATGTACATTTTAAAATCAGCTGTAACTGTCTAATTATTATTATTTTAAAAGTAAAACAAACACTTGAGCCATCACAAACTTGCTTGGGGAGACTTAAGGCTTGATTCCAATTTCATTTCAGTAGGACCAAATGACTGTAACTTCCCTGACTGTAGTGAAACTGCTCCTGATTCACAGGAGTAAGTGGCATGAGTGAGATTAGTCTCAGGACCACTGCTGTACTTAAAACAGATTTTCTACCAAAGCAGAGATACAAACCATTTCAGATATTGTCAGAAAATCAGAAAACCTGTTCCCACCCACTCAAAAAGTTTGAAATCTCACCTATACAAGAAAGTAGACAAAGCAGAAAGAATTGTAGAAATAGTACAACTATTCTGCCAAACATTTTGCCTATAACTTTGTAGACTACGTATTACAAAAGCAATTTTAAGTGAATGATTATGAGCTCAGCAAAAATGGTTGTTTTCACAATACATTTCCATCTGCCTTTTGTGCCATAGTCATTCTGAGTTATTCTTAACGACTTAAAAGGTATAGCAATAAATAGAACAGCATTGCTAGAGATACCTAAAAAGAGAGAAGACATTAAAAATAAATCAAAACCCCCAACAACTGACAAACAGTAATTCACAGCATTAAATAGGCCTCAGGAGCCCACATTTAAAGGACCCTAAAGCAGTATTAAAAAAACCCTCATAAAAATTAGGAGTGCAAACATATACCTATTAAACAAAAATATCCTAACAGTGTAAAATTGAAATAAATTATAAGTAAAGAAAATAAAATGAGGTCATAGTTTACTACATTTGAAACTTAATACTAGCCATAATGGTGAATCATACAGACCAGCACATATCTCCATTTTGGAGGTCTTTACTCCGCCTTTAAATTCAGATTTGCAAACCTTCTACAATGTACCAAGTTTTTTTTTAATTGGGGTAAAACTTCTAAGACTAAAAAATCCAAACTGTCTTAAATCACAGAACAGTGATGCTGTTCCTCTGCAAGCAGTCTAGAGAAGGAAAGGAAGGGGAGAGGAAGGAGGAAAGGAAGGAGGAAAGGCAAGGAAAAGTAAAAGAGTGAAAGAAGAGGCAAGAAAAGGAAGAGAAAGGGAAGAAGAAAGGAAGAGGAAGAGTAAAAAGAAGAAATGAGAGGAGGAAAGGAAAGGAAGAGGAAGAGTGAAGGAAAGGAAAGGAAAGGAAAGGAAAGGAAAGGAAAGGAAAGGAAAGGAAAGGAAAGGAAAGGAAAGGAAAGGAAAGGAAAGGAAAGGAAAGGAAAGGAAAGGAAAGGAAAGGAAAGGAAAGGAAAGGAAAGGAAAGGAAAGGAAAGGAAAGGAAAGGAAAGGAAAGGAAAGGAAAGGAAAGGAAAGGAAAGGAAAGGAAAGGAAAGGAAAGGAAAGGAAAGGAAAGGAAAGGAAAGGAAAGGGTGTCTTATTTTAGCTTATTGCTTATTCTATCTTTTTTTCAAGATCTTGTGAGGGTTGAGAATGTGGGTTACACCCTTGTAAGTATTAGGCAATCAACTTTTCAAATCCCATTTTCTGTCATCATCAATAGATTAATTTTACCACCAGGGTGCCCTTCCACCCCCCCTCTCCACCCCTCAAAAGGTATTGGCAGTTGACTGTTTTCAATAAATTTTACCTCAATATCCATTCTCACTAGAACCTTAAACAACATTATTCATTTATCTTACAAAACTACTAAAAAATTGCCTTCACCTGAAAAATTTTTCTTTGCATTTTCCTGTAAATGAAAATGTTTGTTAAAAATTCATCTATTAAAAGTTCACACAGCACTAAAAAAAAAGGTTTCTGTACATTTGTTCCCATATTCACTCTTAAATTAAACAAATAAAATAAGGTAAGACAAAGGAAGGTTGAATACTGTACAGGCTCGCAGGTAACCTTTTTCATCATTCTGAATGTTTCACTAAGTTTTGTAACTCTGATACTGGATACCACTTCAATCTTGCTTCCACAGTACAAAAGAAGCTTTCAAAAAAATGCTTATCTTGCCTTGTTGAGCTGTCCAGGTGCATCAATGAAGCATTCATGTAACTAACATACATAATTCATAGCACCAAGCCGTTTGACCAGTCAGATAGGTTTCTAGTACCACACATGCGTACTCACACTTCTTTACTGGTGTAACTGTGATCCTACACAGATGTTTTATAAATTTGCTGTGTAAAATGCTCTCAACATTAAAAAATAAGTGCATCAAGTTTCTTTGTACATTCAAGTCACTTTCTAAGGCGAATTGTCTACTGTATGTACTCCCGACTGCTTTGGTATTTTGCTTCAGTTAATCGACAGTGGACATGGGTGTTCAAGCATGTGGACTGGTCAGTTCTGGCTGGAGTGAGTGGACTTTCACTGGGAGCATGCCTTAGACCAACAATTCTGCATGTTGAAAGAAAGGTTTTAGACTTCTGGATGGGGTGCAGACTACGTGCATATTTGGCCTGTGATTGTTATGGTATGTCAGGATGCAGAGTTCAAATTAAAGTAGAAAACTGATGATGAGTATTTAGGTTATACATCCCTTCCTAGCCACATTCTGTTTCTTTTTATTTTCCAGCTACCTTAATTCTGTAAAAAAGTATCCCCCTTGCGATAGCTCAGATTGATATAAATTTAAAACTTTCTTTTCATGTGAGAGCATAAACAGACTGCAGTAAGCGATACATCTATTGCCATGAGACTAATGCAGATATAATTATTTATTACTTTCTCCTCCTACCCCTCTCTCTCTTTCTCTCTCTTTGTGTTTCATTAGAGGGCAAATGCCTCTACCTGGCAGAAGTCAGTTGGGGTTGCTAGTGCATGGTTTCCAAACGTTCAGCAGAGATGAAACTGGATCTGTATTTTTGCAGTAATTTGAACCCTACTATGGGAATAGTGTTGTTTCCCTTAGCAATCAGCAAAGACTGAAAAATATTAGTGACTTGCATCACTGTGACACAGTATAGCATTTGGCAGGTATATAGTTCAGCAGTTGAAACAGATGGGTTGAATTTTTAGAAAAGGTGTTTTCAAAATGAAGAATTTCTGGAAACAAAGTTTAATCTTGTGGTGCATGGTCTCGTTCTTACAGTTCAATCTTGCATGCAGGAAAAGATTCATCTTGCATAACAACAGTGCTGCTGCTTGCCAAAACCATGATGTTGAGGTCCTGCTGTTTCTCATGGGTCTCTTGGTACCATTCCCTCATCACTTCTGAGTCATGGGTTGGGATTAAGGTCACCTGCAACACAAAACAGGAGAAATCCTAAGGAATGGACAACAGAAACAGCTGATAAGAAAAACATCTTTGTAAGAAGTCCCAGCCAACAAGTATGTTTCCCTTTTGGAAAGTGTGGGTCTTTAGGCAATAAATACTTGAATAACTGGATAGATAAAAGGAAATAAATAAACACATAGGTAAGGTAAAATGACTGCAAAGATGTAGTTTATCAAAATAAACTTTGTAAGGTGCTGAGATGCAGCTTTCCAGAGAAGTAGCAGTCTGTAGTCTGCACTAATAGCTCTTCATATTATGGCCAAATATTTTGTTTACTTATTGATCATGATGGAAAGGCACATGAAGTTTCCAAGTGTACGTGATTATCATATAAACCATGAAACATACACTTTTCTTTCCTACTTATGAACTGCAACATTACCAAACTTGGGTCATATATGGTATAGTAACAAGATGAAACAGCCCTGTAAACCAGCTCCTGACTGTTTTATTCACCAGGAACAGGTCAGAAGGGCCAGAAATGGGGGAGCGGCTGAGTGCGGTGCTGCTCTGTGCTTCACTCAGGTGTCCTCTCACATCATCAGTGAAATGAGGTGCCCAGCCTGGGAACCCCATTCCCCGTCAGCTGCTGTCCACTCCAGAGGCACTCTAGCTTCCAGTAGTTGTTTCCCAGAGAAGGTTAAATTTCCAGGTAGAGATACTAGTGAAGAGCCTACCTGCATGTTACTCTCCCACTGTGCCTTGCCCTCCAGCAGGGAGTCCAGAACAGCCCTGCTTGGCTCCTCAGCTGCAGAATCGTTCCCGCTCACCACGTAGTAGGATGACCGCACCCTCTTGAAAAACTCAACGTCAACGTTCTTGCTATTGCTGTGGTTGGGAATGTACACCAGATCCAAATACACCGGAGGTCCTGGGGGCACTGCTGTAGATTTTGCCGCCTTAGTATTTGCAGGTCCTTTGGAAATCAAACAACAAAAGAATATATCACAGGCTGGTTAAAAACATGCATTTATTAATTACTGTTATAATTGCTGAGGTGAGATGTGTCCAATTATGGCATTACACTCCTACATCTAATGACATGTTCCAGCTTTGTTGTATCCCAATTACAGTTGTAATGGGAGGAAAAACCTGTATAACTGTAACTATATAATACAATAAAAACTCACTACCATGTAACCAAAAAATTGACTGAACCTTTCCCAGTGATATACTATTATTATCCAACAATTACTACACAGGGCTGTGATTACTGAATTACCATTCAATAAATGGTGGTATTATTTTCCAGGTTAAGAAGTACAGCTTTTTGAAAGTCTCAGGTATGCACAGTTATAAAACCTAGGGTCACGCAGGGAGCCATGCAGATTTGAAGCAGTCCTGAGATTTGGGGAATTAGCACATAGCAAGACATGGCAGCTGTTGATGTGCTCAGACTGCCTTACAGGTGCATCAGGAAGCTACTACATGGGAGCAGAAAGAGGGTCAAAGAGGAACTTGGGAGGACAGAGAAACTTGTAAAGCAATTACTTCAGGGAACTGAGAACAAGTGTTTTTTTGCCTGCTGGTTCTTTATTTGCATACACAAATAAGCCACCATCACAGAAAGTAGGGGGGAGCATGTTTTTGCTGCTGTACATAGTATAGTACTTGTTCTAAGAAGAGCTTCAGTCAAAAGGAAGTTTAAAGTTTAAACACTCACATGAAAAATACTACCCCAAAAAAAGTGGCTTTTGCTATGCACTGGATCATGGTGTGAACTGAAAATCAGGATTCAACCAGTAATTTTATCCAGATGATCAACATATGTATTCTATTAGCCTTCTCATGTTGTTACAGAGGATGAAGTTTGGTAAACAATTATCTGAGCAATAGAGTCTATGTAGGGTCATATACCGTAAGGCCAGCAAAGTCCATTACATGCTAGCTGCCTAGCATGTCCTGCTGTTCATCATAGGGCAATACGCCAAATAAGCATCATGATATGATAAGGTTTCCTGAATTAGAGAGTTTTTACTATTGGTTATGTTACAAAATCTTTTGTTATCTTTTATCATAAAAAATCTGTGATATATCTCTCTGAATTGTGGATACCAACATGGGATAAAGTATCACACGTTACATTTTACACTTAAATGTTATTATCAAGTAGAGCCTTTTCTTCTACTCTAGCATATATTTGAGAAGTATGCTTTAAGGAAGAAGAATCTCATATAGAGCTAAAGTGCTGGAGAAATGTACAGCATAAGGAACTATACTGCTGCTTTGAAATGCATTAACAGAGACATGCAAACAATGGTGTAAGATAGGAACAGTGGACCACTTAAAATGGGAAAGCTGAAGTCAGTTGAATGTTGGTTTGTTTGTACTGAATCCTAGGCCTGATCCTTGTAAAAAAGCTTTTAACGGAACATCAGTCCTGACAACAGCAAAATCAAAGTATCCCCCAAACGCTCTCTAACAAGATCTGCCGGAAACAACAGATTAACACAATGCCTCCTTCAGTAATCTAATTCATATTTTATTACTACTCAGAATACACAACAGTCATTCAAAATGCCATTAACTTTCTGTATGTTTAGTCATCACTGATGGCATAAGCCTTTAACCGGATTATGTGATGTACATGCTTAGTTCACTGAAAGTGCTCTTACTACTGTTACAATTTTTTAAAATACTCCTTTTAAAATGAATCCAGCAAAGTTCAGAAAGTTCAGCTGGTGAGAGGGAGCCCAGGCATGGCCATGGTACCCACCCGGCGGAAGGCTGTATCCTCTGCACTACCCAGAAAGGATGTATCAACCCAGACTGAACTCCCAGGGAAACACACAGCTGTCCAGGTCTCCGGCTGCAGGGAGTGCCACCAGCTTGCACTGGAAACAGATGGCAGTGGAGGGAACAGCTGTGTACAGTGTGCCCAGGTGGACTATCTACTCGGCCTGGTGGCAGAGCTAAGGGAGGAAGTAGACAGGCTATGGAGCATCAGGGAGTCTGAGCAAGAGAGAGACTGGTCGGACCACACTCTGACCTCCCAGAAACCTGAACAGGGACAGCCACCAGAAAACACCCATGATCAAAGGGTTCCAGTATCCTTCCCCCACCAGGATGTAGGCAGGGTCTTAAAGGGAAGCAGCGAGTGGAAACAAGTCCACTATCAGGGCAGCAAGCGGACCTTTTCCTTGCCCACCATGACTCCGCAGGTGCCTCTGTGCAATAGGTATGAGGCTCTGGATAGCAGGGTCTTAAAGGGAAGCAGCGAGTGGAAACAAGTCCACTATCAGGGCAGCAAGCGGACCTTTTCCTTGCCCACCATGACTCCGCAGGTGCCTCTGTGCAATAGGTATGAGGCTCTGGATATGGAGGACCAGTCAGTGGATGATGTGGGTGTCGATCCATCTACACCAGAGGAGTCGCCAAGACCAGAAAGACCTACCCCCCATATTACTACCACCTCCACAAGGAAGAAAAGACAGGTCATGGTTGTAGGAGACTCCCTCCTGAGGGGAACGGAGGGTCCAATATGCCAGGCAGACCCTCCTCATACGGAAATCTGCTGCCTCCAACACTACTGGACTACTACCCATTACTGCTCTTCCAAGTGGGTGGTGATGAAGTTGCAGTACGTAGCCCAGGGGTGATTAAAAGAGGCTTCAGGGCCTTGGGACAGTTAGTGAGGGAATCTGTGGCACAGGTTATTTTTTCTTCCCTCCTTCCAGTTGTGGGCAATGACATTGGAAGGAACAGGGAGACCCAATGTCTTAACACATGGCTCCATGGCTGGTGCCACCATCACAACTTTGGGATTTTTGACAATGGGACAGCCTACACAGCACCAGGCTTGCTGGCATCAAATGGGAGCCACCTTTCTCAAAGGGGAAAGAAGGTCTTTGCTTAGGAGCTTGCGAGGCTCATTGACAGGGCTTTAAACTAGATGTGAAGGGGGAGGGGGAACATTATCAGGCTTGCCTGTGACAAGCTGTGGGGTGGTACGCAATGGCTAGAGGGACAGGCTGCTGCTATGAGCCCTCAACCAGTTGCCCAGAGGTGTGATGGGGACACTGCAGCACAGTCAAAGTCTTGCAGAGATGAGCTGAGGGCTCCTGAGGCAGTAGGAGCCAACAAGGAAACCTCCATGAAACACCTCGAGGGAAACAAGGGATGTTCCACTAAGAAGGTGACACGGCCAACAGGTGACACTGCCAACAGCCCAGATGAAATGCCTCTACATGAATGCACCCAGCACGAGGAACAAACAGGAGAAGTTGGAAGCTACTGTGCTACTAGAAAGATGTGACCTGATTGCCATTACTGAAACTTGGTGGGACGAATCCCATGACTGGAATGTGGCTATCAATGGCTACCGATCAATAGCTACAGGCTGTTCAGAAGGGACAGGCCGGGAAGGAGGGGCGGAGGCGTTGCCCTCTACATAAAGAAATCGATACAGTGTGAAGAGCTATCCCTGAAGAACAGCCACGAGCAGGTCGAAAGCTTATGGGTAAGAACAAGAGACAGAGGCAACAAGGGGAACCTTGTGCCTGGTGTCTACTACAGGCCACCTGATCAAGGGGAACCTAATGACAAAGCATTCTTCCTCCAGCTCCAGGAGGCTTTGTGCTCGCAGACTCTCGTCCTACTGGGGAACTTCAACCACCCTGACATTTGCTGGAGAAGTAATACGGTGAGCTGTAGGCAATCCAGGAGATTCCTAGAATGCATTGAGGATAACTTCCTAAGCCAGGTAATAGACACCCCTACCTGAGGGGATGCAATACTGGACCTGAGGGTCACCAGTGCAAGTGAGCTCATTGGTGACGTCAAGATTGGAGGCAGCCTGGGCTGCAGTGATCACGCGTTGGCGGAGTTCACACTCCTGAGGGATATGGGAAAAGCAAGGAGTACAGTCAGGACCCTAAATTTTAGGAGAGCAAACTTGCAGCTCTTCAGGGAGTTAGTCAGAAAGACCCCCTGGGAAATGGTCCTCAGGGACAGGGGAACGGAACAGAGCTGGCAGATCTTTAAGGACACCTTCCATAGAGCACAAGAGCTCTCAGTCCCCAGGTGTAAGAAATCAGGCAAGGAAGGGAAGAGACCAGCATGGCTGAGTTGAGACCTGCTGGTCAAACTAAAGAGTAAGAGGGAACTGCACAGGCAGTGGAAGCAGGGACAGCTGTCCTGCGAAGAGTACAGGGATGCTGCGTGATTGTGCAGGGATGGGGTCAGGAAGGCCAAGACACAGCTGGAGCTGAATTTGGCAAGGAATGCAAAGAATAACGACAAGGGCTTCTACGGGTATGTCAACCAGAAAAGGAAGGTTAAAGAAAGCACACCCCCCAATGAACAAGAATGGTGACCTAGTATCAAAAGACGAGGGGAA